TTTGTATTATTGTCTATATTTATTTTAAGAATAATTTTTTTATAAAAATATCTCTATAAATTTTGACAATTAGATTTGCTAGTTCTTTACCATATCTTTAGATTGAAAGAAATGAAAAGGTAAAAAAAAGAGAAAGGGAAAATTATATCACTTCATTTTCCACCATTCCCCTCCTCTCCCTTTCCCTAATTTGGATAAGTATTTAAATTAAAAGACAAACTAATATAAAAGAAAATTTTTTTTCTTTCTCTCTAATTTTTTTATGATTAAATAAAGAATCTTTTTCCCATTCCCTCCCTTCTCCTTCCTTCCATTTCTCTCAATCTAAACATACTATTAATGATTTTTTATTTTTATTTGTTTTAATAAGATTCAAAGAGGAGGGATGCATATAATTTTCATTTTTTGATAACTTTGGCCTAGGAAAAAAAATGTGGGGAAGAAATTTTGAAAAAGAAAAAAGAAAAAAGAAAATGGAAGAAGATGAGTTCATGGTTTTACTTTCTGGTTACTCCCTCTTTTTTTTTTAACCATTGAATTTGGGCCGCCGACTTTTTATTTTACTACTAGTTTTAAGCTTGGGCTGAAATTGGCCCTTTCACGTTAGAGTCCTTTTATTTACTTTTCTTCTTCACTGGAACAGAAGATTACAGGCAGGAGCGCTGCTCACCGTCGTTGGAAGAGTCGGTGTCGCCAGCGTTACGCTACAAAATCATCCGTTCCCCTTTTTCTTTCCCGGATTCAGATCGCCTTCACCGTCGCAAGATGCATCCAAGAACCCAAACTCATCCCTTCCAACTTTTTATCCGATCCCAGAGTGGAACCCTAACCCTAAGTTTCGATCCTTCGAAATCCGTAACCCTTCACCAAATCAAATCCTCGATCCTTTCTGACCCTCAATCTCCCTCTTTTTATTTCACTCTTAATGGGAAACTTGTCTCAGATTCGACCCTTCTCCCGAATCCCCGAATTGCCCCTCTTTCTACTTTTGTCTTGCTGCCTCGGCTTCCAGGTGGCGGAGGAGATGGCGGAGCGACCGGTGCCGAGTCCCGCGACTGCTACCTCAACATGTACGCTGAGAAGAAGCCCGACAAGGTCGATCCCAACGAGCAGAGGCTATCCAAGTGGCTGAATTGCGCGTTGTCGAATGAGCCCCTGAGGGAGCCCTGTGTTGTTGATAAGCTAGGGAATATTTTCAACAAGGAAGCTCTCGTTGAGGCTTTACTGGAGAAGAAATTGCCCAAAGAGTTTGGCCATATAAAGGGTTTAAAGGATATGGTGAACATTAAGATGTCAATGATTCCTGGGGAGGAATTGGTTGGTGATGGAGCGAGGTTTCAGTGCCCAATATCGGGTATGGAATTTAATGGTAAGTATAAATTTTTTGCATTGAGAACTTGTGGGCATGTATTGAGTGCAAAGGCATTGAAGGAGGTGAAGTCCTCTTCTTGTTTGGTGTGTCATAAGGAGTGTGTGGAATCGGATAAATTTGTGATCAATGGTAATGAGGAGGAGGTGGCAGCTTTGAGGGCGAGAATGGAGGAGGAGAGGGCTAAAATAAAGGATAAGAAGGTGGCAAAGAGGGTAAAGAGTAATGTGGAAGTTGGTGTCAATGGTAAGGAGGAAGATATTGGCTTGGATTCATCTCGAGGAATCAAGAGGGTGCTTGATGTTAAGAATATGAAGGCCATGAAGGAGAAGGAAGGAAATGGGAAGGTTGAGAATGCTGTTAATGGAGCGAGTAAAGGTGCTGTGAAGAGGTTTAAAGCTGCAGACATGGCACCACCTAATGCCACAAAGGAAGTATATGCCTCAATATTTACTTCTTCTAAGAAGTCTGATTTTAAGGAAACTTTTACCTGTAGATCTCTACCGCTTGGTCGGAATTAATTGTTGAAGGTCTACTGTGGTTGCAGGGCATCTTTGATGTTTCATGAGGTGATATCTGATGTCTTGTTGTTATGCATTATCATGAGTTAAAATTTGAGAAATCTTTATGTGTTTGAGATTAACTTGCCCTAATTGTATTACACTATTGACTAAAGTACTGCCTCACCTCCAAGGTACATGATTCCTTCTTCTTCTTCCTTGTACCTGTATTTTTCTTTAGTTTCTTGCTAAACATTGAGCTGGTATATTATGTGATTGACCTGACCATGTCATGTGATGGAAATCCATAACTGTGAATAAAAAACCGGATTGATCCCAAAAAAAATGGCATTAGCAGTAACTTAATAAAACAGATACATTACTTTAAAAGCAAAGTTCCAAAAAAAGAAAAAAAAAAGGAGGATAGCTGAAGGTATTTCAGTTGAAGCAGATATTCTAAAGCATATTCCATGGTTGAAGTCCACCGCCCCTCCCAAAAAAAAAAAAAGGAGAAGAAGGAAGCACATATGCTGCGTGGTTTGCAACAGCCATGTGTTCATCTTCTTGTTACTGATGATTGTTGACCTTTGCATGCTCTTTCTTCTTTAGTCTGGATTGTGCGGTAACCTTCAGCAGCAAACTACATTTTAGTATAAAATAGTAAAGAGAGTAGATACAGCAGGCAAGCTTGATCAAGCTACCACTTTACGAGCTACCATCCTAGCTACAACTGGGCGTGGACTGGAACAAAATTCATTTTACAAAAGGAAAATAAAATTATAGTCTCTAATCACAAGGTTAATTCCATAGTTCAACATTGAGCAAACCAAAAAGAAACCCATCTTGCCACCATGCCACTCTATATTAACATCAAGACCTCGGCAAACGCAAGAAAGATGAAAAAGACCTTGCTCATTTTATCTACTATTAGGTCTCATGGGTTTTTCCTGACCCAAGAGCCAATTTCTTCCGATGGACTCATCATCAGAGTTTCATTTTTGGTTGTTGGATTGGGCTGGGAAAAAAGAATCATTTATGATATATTAAACCGGACAAGGCTGTTCTACATCATGAGGTAAATTAGAATTGCTTCTGTATCAACTAACTAATTGTTGATTAAAGCCTTAGGTCGAAATTTAGCCTCAAAATTATGATAAGATCTCGACTGCATACCTCGCATAAAGAGTCCATGTCATTGTTGAAAGAGGTTCATCAATATTAGTTAATTTGTGGGGTCATAAGTTTTAACATCGTCTGATATGTGGTCCATTAGGCCGTCGGACTGCCTTCGCCACACACATGCCTTGTGGTTCCTGATACAGGTTCAACTTACACCACCAAGCTAACAAGACTTTTTATCTCTCCGTTTTTCCACTTACCCTTCCATTCTACTCTTCTCTCTAATTTCCAATTGCTGCAACATCCTTGACCTTACAAGTGTTAAGGAAGACTAAGGGATCATTAGCTTATTGAACTTGGCACGTTGTCAGCCACCTAACCTGACTCTTCTGTTTTGTCCTAAGTAGCTGCATTCAGAGCCAAAGTGTGGCTCTACTTATTCCTATATAAAGAGCCAAATTAAGTCTCACCAGATACTCAAGTCTTTCTCTGTGTCTCTAATTTCTTTCTTCTTGTAGAGTTGGGGTGACAATGGCTGGGACTGGAGTGTTTGCAGAGATTTTGGATGGAGATGTGTTCAAGTACTACTCTGATGGGGAATGGAGGAAATCTTCTTCTGGGAAAAGTGTTGCTATTATCAACCCAACTACCAGGAAAACACAGTACAAGGTTCAAGGTAAAGAATTAAGTCTTATGATGTTATGTCTGTTATGTTTTGCATGTTAGAAAAATGAGTTTCCTTGGAATCAAACAACGAAATGTTAAAACATGTCTGATCTTGTTGTGTAATGGTTTTGGAACAGCTTGCACACAAGAAGAGGTGAATAAGGTAATGGAATTGGCGAAGATTGCACAAAAATGCTGGGCAAAGACCCCGCTATGGAAGCGAGCAGAGCTCCTTCACAAGGCTGCTGCCATCATGAAGGAGCACAAAGCACCAATTGCTGAGTGCCTGGTGAAGGAAATTGCTAAACCAGCCAAAGATGCTGTTACTGAGGTATCTCATTTCTTATATGTTTTGAGTTGTGTTTGAACTTGTTTTGTTCAGAATGTTAACTAGTGATTACAAGGAATTTGAATTTTGATTTTTTCAATGTGATGAAGGTTGTAAGGTCTGGAGATCTAGTTTCTTACACTGCTGAAGAAGGGGTTAGGATCCTGGGAGAAGGGAAATTCCTGGTTTCTGATAGCTTTCCTGGAAATGAAAGGACTAAGTACTGCCTTACCTCCAAGGTACATTATTCCTTCTTCTTTCATTCGAGAAATTTGTCATATTAGTAACATTGGCTCTTTTACCATTGCATCTAATTATAATTGAATCCAAAACTTCAGATTCCACTTGGAGTGATTTTAGCCATTCCACCATTCAACTATCCTGTGAACCTTGCTGTTTCAAAAATTGCACCTGCACTGATGGCTGGAAACTCCCTTGTACTCAAGCCACCAACACAGGTAAGCTTCCATCTCTTGACATACAAATCCCAGTTCTTACTAAATCTTCTAGGAGCATTCATTTGAGATGTGAGGATTCTCTGCAGGGTGCTGTTGCTGCTCTTCATATGGTGCATTGCTTTCATCTGGCTGGTTTTCCAAAAGGCCTTATTAGCTGTATCACAGGTAAAGGCTCTGAAATTGGTGACTTCCTCACCATGCATCCTGGAGTAAACTGTATAAGGTAAGGTGATTTTAGTTTTTAAGCTGTTCTGTACCCTTACCTACTCCTCCTTTAACACACATTCATCTTTTGCTCAGCTTCACTGGTGGAGACACTGGAATTGCAATCTCAAAAAAGGCAGGAATGATCCCTCTTCAGATGGAATTGGG